TTTTTTTTTTTATTTCGATCACAAAGTGGTAAACAGGCCCCGAGTGGTCGGTTTCATACATCTATTTTATGATGCAGACTTTAGGGGGACAAAAAAAAAGGGAAAAAAGAGTAGAATTTATTCATCAGTAGAAATTCCATATTCAATGTATGCATTCAATGACAAGGAAATTGTAAACTTTTTAGACATTCCAAAAGCCTAACTCACAAGCTTCATATAGAGAAAAAGACAGATTTATCATGGGAATGTCGGATTAATATAAGAATTTTTTCTTTTTTAAGTTGCTTAGCAATAGGAAAGGGTTCTTAGAAAATGAAAATGGTTGATGCATGTTTCAAGAGTTCGAATCCTGGAGTCTGATGGTTGAAAATGAAAATGGTGTTGAGGGGTGTGGGAGCTTGAAAAAAAAAAAGAAATTGATGTACCAAAGATCTTTTCAAAAGTTAATTTCGATACTTTGGATTTAAAAGTCTTGGAAAGGCACAACTTGCTTTTGAAAAAGTTCCTCCAGCAGTCTTTGAAACTAATTGTTCAAAGTTAGAAGGAATTTAAAAGCGTATCAGATGCAAATGACAACTTCTCTACAGAATTTTCCAATCAGACAAAAACTAGAATCAACTTTTATTTGTTTCAAGTTTCAACACGAACTGATTCTTAGATAACATGACTCAAGTCCTATAGTAGACTATGTCAACAACTTCCCATAGAACATTTATAGGGGCAATTATATTATGCTTATTCCGGGAATGATGCCAACTCTGCTTTTAGAAAACATTTTCTTTTCTGTAGTATGCCTTTATTCTTATTAGAACTTGTCTTTTATGGAAATAGTTCTTGAATTGCTTAAAATCATCCAAGCATCCAATACAGTGCCAAAATTATTTTTGCTTAAAATATCAGGGCTTAAATCTGTTAAAAAAGAATTGTGGATACATGAATTATTGAAATTGATGCTTATTGAAAGTTGTACTACATAATTATATTATAACTAAAAAGTGCCTAAGTGGCATTGAGAGGACAAATTGCAATGTCACTTCCCTTAAAAGTGATGGAATAGATAGTTGCGACACTTATCAGCCCACTAAGAAATACATTGTTGACCATACAAACAAAAAAAAAAAAAGAGAGTTGGTCATGGATTCTCATGAAACAAAAAGAATACCAACAGATGTTGGTGCAAGTGAAAGGAGCTTGCATCCCTTAATCATGAGATCTTGAGTTCGAAATTTATGGAAATGGATTGTAAATTATTTGAAATATTTTTATTGTAGCACTTTTTGTGATGTGATGTATGTGAGATAAAAAAGTAATTGGTAAGATAAAAAGGTGTATTGAAAATTGTAATGGTGATGTAAGCAAATATATTTGGACAAATAATCTCCTGTCCAAACACACAAATGTTGGGAGAGCTTCCCCTGCAAGGGGCCCAACCCGACTCAAACAAGATAAGTCACAGATCATAGAACGGATGCCGATATCTGTGGGTTATACCTAAAAAAAAAATGAAACAAAAAGAATAGAAAAAATATCGTAACATATGTAACGAATTTGTCTTTTACATTCCCAAACTACAGGAACTAGACCAAAGAAAATCTTGTACAAGCAAAATATCAGGGTGGTTTTGTTTATATATGCAACAACATTTTCTGAAATTCAAACACCACAAGGTTCAAAACCAAATCATCATTTCCTGGTCCAAATAAAAATACCTCTTCCTCTGAACAGCAACTAATTGAAGCAAAACTTTCTCTAGTTACTAAACATTTTTCCTTTCTGCATGGAAAGTTTAATGCATTTTCTCATCCTGATTTGTGTGCTAACCAACTCTCATTCGGAAATTGCTGCAAATGAATTCCAAGAGCAGAGCAATTTAGAGACTTATATCGTCCATGTTGAGTTACCTGATCCGGATGATGCTGAATATGGCACGAATGCCATAACAGGTGAAGATCTTGGTAGTTTGTACAACTCTTTTCTGCCAACAACTGCTACTACTGCTGCAATCTCAAATGCAACACGTCCACATATAGTTTACTCCTATCACAATGTTTTCAAAGGCTTTGCTGCGAAATTGTCAGCTGAGGACGTGAAAGAAATAGAAAAGAAACCTGGTTTCGTATCAGCACGGCAGCAAAAGCTACTATCATTATGTACAACCCATACTCCTAGCTTCTTGGGGTTGCATCAAAACTTGGGTTTATGGAAGGAATCAAATTATGGTAAAGGTGTTATCATTGGAATCTTGGACACTGGGATAGTGCCAGACCATCCATCATTTAGTGATGAAGGAATGCCTGCACCACCTGCTAAATGGAAGGGGAGATGCGAATTCAATTCGTCAGTTTGCAACAACAAACTGATAGGAGCAAGATATTTCCACGATGGAAATGGTTCTCCATTGGATGAGAGTGGCCATGGTACTCACACAGCAAGCATAGCTGCTGGAAACTACGTCCAAGGTGCAAATGTATTTGGAAATGCTAATGGAACTGCAGTTGGTATTGCCCCTCTTGCTCACTTGGCAATGTATAAAGTATGTACAGCAATTGGTTGTTTTGAGAGCGATATTCTAGCTGCAATGGATGCAGCTATTGAGGATGGGGTTGACATTATCTCTGCCTCCCTTGTGGGAGGAGATTATCAATTTTATGCAAATAGCTTATTGCTAGGTGCATATAGCGCAATGGAGAGAGGAATTTTTGTCAGCTGCTCAGCAGGAAATGACGGTCCTTCTAAGAGCTCTTTATCCAATGAAGCCCCATGGGTTCTAACTGTTGGTGCAAGCACCATTGACAGAAACATAAGGGCAACTGCCGTGCTTGGTAACAAGGAGGAATTTCAAGGCGAGACAATAAATCAGCTAAAGGATTTTCCACCAACTTTATTTCCCCTATTCTACCCAGGCAAGAACCAGGACGATATTAAGTCTAAATATTGTGCCTCAAAATCCCTAAATAACACCGAAGTCCGAGGAAAGATTGTGGTCTGCATTGATGGTGGTACGATATCAGGAATAGAAAAGGGAGAAAACATCAAGGCTGGTGGTGGTGTTGGCATGATCCTCATTAACCATAAGAATGATGGTTATACCACATTTGCTGATGCTCATGTTCTTCCAGCAACCGATTTGAGTTACGCTGATGGATTGAAGGTTATTGCCTACATAAACTCCACAGAATCACCAATGGCAGCAATCTCGTTCAAGGGGACTGTCTTTGGAGACAATCACGCTCCAATGGTTGCTTCATTCTCTTCTCGAGGCCCCAGCCGAGCAAGCCCTGGTATTCTGAAGCCAGACATAATTGGCCCTGGTGTAAACATTCTTGCTGCCTGGCGTCACTCCATAGAAAACAACACTAACACAAAATTCAATGTACTCTCTGGCACTTCAATGTCTTGCCCTCACCTCAGCGGCGTTGCTGCACTGCTCAAAAGTGTTCATCCTAATTGGTCTCCAGCTGCTATTAAGTCTGCAATCTTGACCACTGCAGATCTAGTGAACTGTGCAAAAAACCCCATTGAGGATCAGAGGCACCATCCCGCAAATATTTTTGCCACTGGTTCGGGCCATGTTAACCCATCTAAAGCAACCAATCCGGGTCTTATTTATGACATTGACCCGAAAGATTACATACCTTACTTGTGTGGATTGAACTACACCAACCGGGAGATTGGTATACTCTTAAAACGTAAGGTAAACTGTGCAGTAGAGTTGCGAATGCCAGAAGCGCAACTAAACTACCCTTCATTTTCAATCATTTTTGGATCACCCGTTCAAAGGTACACAAGGATGGTAACTAACGTTGATGAAGCTAATTCAACTTACACTGTTAAAATTATACCACCAGCAGGTGTCAATCTGACAGTCAAACCTACTACTCTCGGTTTCTCACAGGCAAACCAGAAGTTGACATATGAAGTCACATTTACCCTAGTAGCATCACCGGCTAAAAGTAGAGTGTCTCAAGGATCTCTATCATGGACTTCAACAAAGTTCTCAGTCAGAAGCCCCATTGTAGCAACTATCAATGGAAAGTAGGGGCTTTAATAGAGATCTCTTCTTCTTCTTTTTTGGCTGTTCACAAGTAACTTGCAGTAAACAAAAATTTTCAGGAATACAAAATAGTGTTTCATATACCGTAGCAACATCAATTTGTAAAAAATGTATATCAACTACAACTTATCCTAAGATTTCTTATACACTGGTTATGTTAAAAAGTTAAATGTGAGACCTGGGTTGCTTCTTGCATTAATTTGTTGAAGCACAAATTAATGGCCAGAAGGGATGGTTACCACCCTAACCAAACCAAACTGATCAACACAAGTTGTTGACAGTATGTAAATGCTTTGTTCAAGCAGTACTTGTGATTGCTTAGTTGCCTAAATTCAACTTACAGAAAGAGGCTAAGCAAATTTATTGCCTCAACTTGCAGAAATGATCTCCTATTCCACGCACCCAAAGGAAACAAGAACAACCATCATAATTTATCACTACATTGTATTTGTTCATTCCTAGCTTTGACATTACACTATCTTTTCTAAACCAGACTGATATCAAACAATTCCATCATTTCCAGATTCAGATACAGCCAAAAAATTATAACGAAAGATAATGAAGTACAGCATCCATTAGCACAAACAATGACAATTAGAACCATAAAAGCTATAACATCAAACACCCTGAAATAGGAGACCATAGAAAGCATAGAAATGGAGAAGAAAGAAGAGGAGCAAAAGAAGTCCAAAGCATGCTTACAGCAAGACAGCTAAATCCCACATGGCGGACAAAGTATCTAGTTTTTATGTCAGTTGAATCCATCAAGTGACTTGATGCTTCCCACATAGTGCTGCTATCTTGTATTTAAGCTAAAGTAGCAATTGATAAAAATATTGCATCAAATCATGCAGACCATAGAGCAAGACATAGAGGTCTGCAGAAGTGTATTCCTCCGAGCACATGTTGCCTTCAATATTGTCATGTTGTACTGACCAAAAAGAAAGGATGGAAAAGAGTGATGTAGCAGTGAAGAAGTATCTGTGAAACTGCCATTTTTCAAAGATTGATCCCAATACCCAAAATAAAGGATGAGACACATCTGACACAAAGATGAAAAGCTAACACCAATTAGGTAAATCACATGTTCAAGAAACCGAAGCTAACTATGAAGTTTTGCTCTTTTTTTTTTATCTTAAATGACAAACTACAAAAAAAAAAAAAAAAAAAAGAGTTCAAAATCCAACTATAACTTTGCCTTTGGGAGACATCATCAGATTCATAAACTTTCAAAGATGAACAAAAATGCCAGTTTCATTCTCACTTCACTCCATGACAACTTTTGCCCCAACAGCTTTCATCTTCTCGATTATCTGCTCTCCTTCTTCCTTTGACACTCCTTTTTTAAACACTGCAGGCGTCTTCTCCACTAAATCCTTTGCTTCTTTAAGTCCCAAGTCAGTGAAACTCCGAACCTCCTTAATAACCTTGATCTTTGAAGCTGCATCATAGGACTCCAGCTTTAGTTCAAAAACAGTCTTCTCTACTTTCTTCTCTTCCTTGGCAGCTGTTGCTGGTCCCTTCATTGACACTGCACCCATACCAACGTCTCCAGGTTTCATGACCCCCACAACTGGAGGCTCCTTCATACCCATCTTTTTCATCATTATTGAACCAAGCTCTGCAACTTCAACCAAGGTAAGCGACGATATTTCATCAACTAGTCTCCATACCCTCTCTGTTGGAGGACTACGATGTTCCGCAGGATCAAATGTAGCAGGATCATAATCAGCCGGAAGCCTTCTTTGGTCGACTTCTATTTCCTCCACATCTTCTTCGTCTTCTTTCAATGCAGGCTGAGCAAACCCGCGAGCCATCCCAACCGAGTTAACTAATTTATGCACAGGACAGAAAAAGGGCTTCCTAAAAAGTTCATAAGGCAACTGATGCCTTAACCGCGAGAACAAACTCATTTTGTAATTCAGTAGTATCCGCTTTTACAGGATTGACTTAGAAACTACCCATTTGATTCTCCAAGACCCACAAATCAACAGCCTGTGCAGTCAAATTTAAATCTTTATCAATCAATCAAATAGGCATTTTATCAAACACATAGATAAAAAAAAATATGAGCTTGGAAAAGCACGAAAGCATTACAGTTTTAGAAAAGGATCATGACAAATTCGTATCTGAAGGCCTGTAATTTAAAAAATAGAAAAAATATTGTATATAAATGCATATCCACGAATTCCACCGAGAAGAATATACAAGCATTGCAAATAAAATGCGAAAAAACTTGTCTACACTAAACTGTGAAAGACATAAACTGCTTACCACTAGGTGGGAAAACCCACCTCAGTAGTGGTCGGTGGTGCAGAGGAGAAGGGGCAGCGGCGGTGTGGCGGGGAGAGACGGTTGTTTGGGTGGTGGAGAGTAGAAATGGTGGCGTTTGATACTGATACGGTGATACCGCGCTAGTAGAATTGGGACTGAGTTCTGTTTGCTTAGAGGTTTAAAGCCGGGTTTACTTGGTGATTAGTGAAGGCTTCGGGTCAAAACTCAAAAGTGAGTGAGCGTTTGAATTTGCAACTTCAGTCCTGAATCTTTTCCTTTTTAGTCATCTGGCCACAATGTTTTGCAGAAGTTTTCATGAACACAGACAACTATATAACTAGGCCTCAGAGGTCAGGCCAAAGAAATACTAACAATAATGAAAAAAAAAAAGTTTGGGACTTCGTTTAAAATCCAAAAAATCAGTAAGCTTAAAAAATTTTGTATTTTGGGCTGAGATTTGTTATTACTGTCAACTTAACAGCTATAAGTTTGAGGCTTGACAATACCTTTCAATTATTATGAATACAATATCCTTATACTATATAAGATTGAGTTTTGGTGAGAGGGAGGGTTGCATTTCAACCGCATAGGCAGGGACTTTTTGGGAATGTGAAATATTCTGTAGTGTTTCACAAGCTATAGGTACAAGTGAGGGAAGCTTGTGGTTAGGTATATTAAGCGAAATACCCTTATTTATAGACATTTAAAACTTTATGTTGTTGAAACATATGGGTATTTATGGTATGTGCAATTAATCTGCAACCATTTATTATTTTTGGTACAACACACATAAGCCTGTGGGTTTGTGAAATTACTTAAATGGCATTCACACATCATAAATGCAGTCATTACGAAAAGAAAAAGTCATGACCATAAATACGGCAATTGCACACGGTTATTACTGAAATGGCTTTCACACATCATAAGTGCGCTGTTTGACTAATGATCACTGAACATGGAAATCACTTGTACAGGGAGCCCACAAGTGAAAGGGAATAAGAAAGGCCAACCTTGCTCAACCATCACCGTGGTTAGAGCTCAGGTGTGGAAACACCTCCTTTTAGATCTCCTTCTCTATCATTTATACCTGAATTTAATGGCAAAAAACGTGGGCCTACTAATGGCTCCTGAGCTTCGGGGATTGGGTTTTCTTTTGCAACCTTTGTCTCAAACAGAATGCCGCATCGTTTCCCCTCTCACCGGAGCTTATGGCCGAAACATTCCATTTTTTTCTCATTATAGTCTCAATTAAATTGCCAGACATTGGTAAATTAATGCCCAATGGCTGCGTCGATTATGATTGTTTCCATGCCTCCTTTTCACCTTTTTCAGATTCAACCTTATTCTGAGATTGAAATTTTTTTTATGCCCTTATACTGCATAAATCCTAGGCATGGAAACAATCACCGCCCACTGAAGCAGGAAGTTGCGGAGGGCCCGACCGACAATCTTTACGAGGTTCATTAACTTAATTTGGGATTTGATGAGGCTTTCACTTGGCCTCTGCTTCATTTTGGTCCCATGGTTTCTTCATTCTGCTACAGCTTGTCCTTAATCACTTTCTATTAGTAAGTTAATGACTCACTCACTTGAAGACCGACCAAATGTGGACATTAGTAGCGTGTAGTCCTTCACTACAGAGCTCCTTCAGCTTACTTGCTTCCTTAAGCCAAAAGCACCAAGAGTAGCTGCTCCGACAAGAAAAGGCACCAACATCCTTGCGTTGTCTCCACTTTCAACTTCAGCTGTCAGAGTAGTTGAAGCAGGAAGTTGCGAAGGGCTCTCGATCATATATGTTCTATACTCATCATGTAGATGCTGAAGTTGGGACCAAAATGAAGAAACCACCAAGAAGCAACGCATCTGACTGCTGTCTATTACAGCATCTACATGAGTTTACTACTATTCATATCACTAAATAAGTAGACATACATGATGTCTTATTTAACATACTCTGCTATCTATCCGTAGTTTTTATATGAAACAATTTCATAATTATTTGTCCGTACACCTTTGGGAACTTGCTGCATCTAATCATTTGTGTTCGAGAACTTCCTGATTTTAATATTGGAAGACTCTTATGTTGTTTGTCTTATAATCATACATGTTTCTAATTATTTATCGCAACGTATTATTCTCGCAATGTATTATTATTTGTCCAACCAAAAAACCTTCTTCAACCACAAGCACCGAACACCCGCGCAATGCGCGGGCACTCCTCCCCTAGTAACAAAAAATAAAAGCAAGTCTTCTTTAAAGGTCTTCATTGTTTGAAAGTAAGACATTATGTATTATTATAGGGCCTCCTTACTTTTAAACAACAAAACTGTTAATGTAAGAGAAATTGCAAAATCTTCAAATAAGTTTTCGTTTGTGTGTGTAATTTTGTTACTTAACAGTATTAAGTCCCGATTGGAGTTTGCAGTGCTTTTGATAAAAAAGCACTTTTAAGTACTAAAAGCACTTCTGAGATGTTTAGTGAACATCACCTTATAAGCTTTTGGTGTTAAAAACACTTTCAGCAAAAAACTAAAATTTGATATTTTTATAATTGTTTTTGTATTTTTAAAAATAAAATATTAAATTTAATCATTTTGCCCTATATTATGAACTAAATAAAGAGAAATACATTTAAAGAAATTTAAAATTACACATTATCCAATGCAATAAATACTTTCTGGACTATGTATCCAAATAATATATTTAAAAGTATTTAAACACTTAATAAGTGATTTTATTAGAAGGTCTACTAGGTAAAATATCTTTTAATAAGCTACTGCAACCGCAAAAGCCGTTAACGGCTTTACACCGTGAATCTTTTTCTTCTAGTTTACCAATACCTCAAAAGACAGTTATTCAATCCTACGAATCCGAAAATACGAACCGGTACCTAAATTTCATTTTGAATTTTTCTAACAATTTATTTCAAAAGTTGCACAAGTTTCTTCAAAATTTTGATATGACGCTAAGTGGTTAAGGAAACTGGCTTCAATTCTGATGATACTAGTCAAGGAAACTGGCTACATTCTATGTACAAAATAAAACTCTCTGAAAGATTCCATGCCTAATATTCAATCCCTACCAGCACCTGGTGTCAACCACCCTGAAATAGTATAAGCTCAGCCATCTAGATTTGCTAGGCAGTAGGAACTATCAGAAATGAGGCAGCAGGAAAAGGGAAGAAATCAATTCTTACTGAGATACAAAGAAACAAAAGCTTGTACTACACGATCGCAAACTGTCATTTGCAAGACTTGAGAGAAGTATACTAAATTGCTCAAAAATGCTCAAAGTTCATCGAGCTATCAAGGGGAAAGATCACTGGATACTAGCTTGCACTTGACCATGATACTACATGCGGCCAAAGCAGCAGAGAAAGTTTAGTTCGAATAATTAGACTAAAAAATCAGCTCAGTTAAACTCTTTTTACAGCATACAAACCAAAAACAACTCCAAACTGTAAGATAGACTCATCAAAGATGGTGCTTAAGTGCTGAAAGTTTTTGCCGTTTCTCATTCAGGAATTAGTGCTTCATTCTCTGCTTCACCTTCTTCTTCAACTTTGGGCTTTGATGAAGCCCCCGCTCCAGGTGCCTGCTTCTTTTTTATTCCACTTACAATGTCGTCAATTCTTAGAAGCATGCAGGCAGCTTCGATGGCTGTTTTAAATGCTTGCACCTTCACAGTGTAGGAATCCCATATCTGAAATTTTAAAAGAAGTAAGCTGCTCATGTGATCCTCAGACCATAATACCTGACTTTTAAGAAGCTCAAATTTGCAAAACTGAAAACTAAACTTAATAAAAGATCAGGAAATTTATGTAGTTAGAGTACCATAGCTAGTCCTAAGAAGAAGTAAATAGTCACTGAAACAAAACTAGATTTTGGATAAATTATTTCTAGTTACGTTAGAAGATAAGACTTAATCCAGATGTAAGGGGAAGAAGATCATACCTTCCTCTCCTTCATATCAGCAATTGCACCAGTATTACCATCTATGCCAACCCAAGCATTTTCACCATTTGCATGCTACAATAACATATAACCGATATCAAAGTCCAATACATAATGACTACAAGGAAATAAAGACGCAAACATCATTCTAGAAAATAATTTCAGACTTGATGCTCTTACCGTCCCACGCAAGGAAGTCATTGTTCGAATAACATTGACACCACAATTCTGAGCCAAAGTTCGTGGTATTGCCTCAAAGGCAATTGCAGCAGCTTCATAAGGCCACTGCAGCACAAGACAGAATTGAAATAGAATTGAAATATTAAAACAATTCTCAGTGGAATAAACTGATTCCTGAAATTAGCAGTTGAATCTGAGAAAAATACTAGCTCCACAAAATAATAGGAATGCATAAAGAAGAGCAATCCACCTTTTCAATGCCTTCAACAGATGAGCTCTTCTGCTTTAAAATCGCTGATACAGTCAACTCAGTTGCACCACCACCAGGAACAAGTTTTGGATTCTTGACAATGTTTCTTGCAACGGACATCGCATCCTGTAGGACAATTTAAATAGAGTCAAAAACATTGTTCCATAGCCGTTATACAATAACTAAATCAATGTAAACCAACCTGTAAATTTCTTTCTACTTCATTCAATAGGTCTTTGCTGGCACCCCTTAAAAGAACAGTACATGCTTTTGGATCCTTGCAATCAACAATGAATGCAAAGAACTCATCCCCAATTTTCCTCACCTCAAATAGCCCAGCTCCAGTCCCAACATCAAATTCCTGTAACTCATCAGGTCGGTTCACAATAACTGCCCCACATGCCTTGGCAATCCTGTTATTGTCCGTCTTTCTCAACCTCCTGATTGCAGAAACGCCAGCCTTGCTCAGATAATGGCATGCTAGATCACTCAACCCCTTTTCTGTTATCACTAAATCAGGCTTAAACTTCAGTATCTGCATGCAAAGGTTCTCAATGTACTCCTCTTCCATTTTTAATAACACGCTCCAATCTTCTTCCCTCATTAATTCTGCATTTGTTTGATTCTCGCCTTTCTTGTACTCCAGGGGACAATCTAGAAGGATGATACGAGGATTTACAATCTTTCTTCTCATTTTGCCAGGGGCAACCACATCCTTGTTAAACATAACTCCCTTAAGGACCTGTGAATCTTCCAGTTGCCCACCCGGAACCTTCTCAACCTTGACATATTTCT